CTAGCGAATTTTGGTTGAAGCCTGGTAACTACACTTTTGAGAATTTGATGCTTCTCAGTCGCTAGTGAACATTATTAATATCAATATATTTTAATTTTGCTAGATCTTCCATTCGAACGAACACATAATGAGAGCATTAGGAGGTTAAGCGAAATGATCTCATCATCATCTCCTGTACCATCAAGATCATAAAGATCATCATCTAAAACTGTCGAAAATTCTCCTGTATCATTAATACCACTAACACCATCTCCAAACCTGTGACTCCAACTATCCCTTATTTTTCGCAAAATGTGAATGTAATCAATGTTACCATCAATTATGGTAAAGGGTCAGACGAGCAATAGGAATAAGATTTTTTCATCAGTATGAAATAGCAAATAGTTTAGTAAATTTTATATTTCATTGCTTGTAAAGCACACATATGTTTAAAAATTCAAAGTAAAATCTTTATTTATCATTATGTAAAATGGTCGATCCGTTAAGTAAAAAATAAATAAAAAAAAGTAGAATAATAGATCGAAAGACTGGAAGAAAGTAATGATTGAAATAAATGATGCTATCAAAGAGGGAGGAAATTCTCAGATCTTAAGCCATAAATGAGAGTCCCAGCATCATTTTAATTCACATCACTACCCTCACTATTGCTACTACTATCATTATTATTCGTAAAATTAATTCTCCTTCTCCCTTCTCTTTCTCCCTCCCTTCTTACCCATGTAATAATTTTATCTATTGATGTGACCCTTAGGGTCTTTTGGTGTCGATAGAAACTGGCTAGTGTGGCAGGGCTAAGGCGAATTTCTTAGGATAATATATTGTACATCTGTGTAGGAGAACGCCTATCTCTCCTCTTTCTTTGATCAAATATGGCTGTGAATTTGACCCAGTACATTTGTATTTCATCTGTATATTCAGAATATTGTAATACACAGCTTGTGGAAGAAAACCTGTTTGAATCGACTATAAAGGTACAATTTGCATATTAGTCTCGAGAAGTCATCGCCAAATACTAATTCAATCATACCTTGTGAAATAGCATCATTTCTCCAATCATTTTCAGTACGCATCCTATAGAGCTCATTATTTAGTGCCAGGATTGATCTTTTAAGATCATTATTTCTTCCAGTCTGCTGTTTGCGAAAATAGATGATTATTCCAGCAAAAATTAAATATAGGAATAAATTTCCTGAAAAAATAGCTTGGAGATTCTCAATGCTTATAACTCCCTGGGATATCATCTCATAAATTAATACTACGGTGCAAAAGAGCACAAGCAGAGAGATATCAGTGAATAAAAGTATTTTATTATTAAATTTGTTTTAGATAGTTTATGCACAAAACTTTGCGAAGTGCCTGCGAAGCGCCTTAATAGCTAACGGCTATTTTTTTTAGTTTATTTTCTTGTTAGAGCAACTCCAATACTTCCCAGTACTTTTATATTTAAGATTACTCCGCAGTTGATAGACATGATCATCGAAAAACATAACAGTCCCTGATGATCTTACAGTCCATTATTTAGCTGATCCTGACCTGCAAATTACCCTGTATTAGAATGTATTAGCTTGGCGATCAAAAAGTAGCATATATAATTTTATCATTACTGGTCAAGAGATCATATGCAGTATTTAATATTTTTTTTATTTGCGAGACATTCCTAGCCTCAAGCTCAACGATCTTAACCACAAGTTTAGCATTTTCTTCTCTAAGTAAATTTCAGTGAAAAAAAATAAACTTATGAGATAATCCAATACTAAAGTATGTAATAATTATCCTGCCTTTAGCGCTTGACTTCATCGCTCTGACTCAGCAGGCAGTTACCGGAGAGATAATAGGACTCATTATTGGCGAGTCTTTCCTTTCGTATCTTCCGTCATGATAATAATAACCTCTATCACATTCATCATATTCATTATATCCACCGTAATCATTATATTCATTATCGTCCAATTTATCTGGCATCTCTTCTTCAGAATCGTTAGAATCAGAGTCATTGTCTGACTTAATTTCGTTCGATTCCCCCCTGATTGCGAAGCAACCTCTTCATTCATTTCTTTCACTGATTGGGACGCAGAATCAACTTCCTTATCAAAATACACATAATCCTTCGCATGATCTTTCAAGAGCATTTTGTAGTAATCGTTCATATCTTCGAGCGAATTGCTTGGGCCGGCTTCTTTGGAATCATTAGAAGAATTAAAGGCATGAGCTAATGGAATAGGTTTAGTTGATTCCTTTGGAGACAAGACCTCCAATACATTATTCTGATTGTCATCTTGTTTTTCATCTACAGGATCATCAGTGAATTCCATATTGGGTTTTTTGGTGAAGTGATCTATAATAGTTTGAATCTGAGAATTAGAAAATTTTGAAATAGTATCCGCACTATATGTTTTTATGTATTGAAGCTTGTCCATTCCTATTTTTTCAAATAAATCGTCAATTCTCAAAGCTTTTTGTGTTTGCCTACATAAAGTTTTGCGTTTAGTATCGGGGAGTTGTTTGATAATAAAATCATATACCTAACCTTTCGCTTTCTTTTCCCCAACTTTATTGCTGACCATGAAATCTTTATACATGCTCTTGAATTCTCTAGCATAGAAACACCAACGCAATGTTTCTTCTCTATTGGCTTCGATTGCATCTTTTTCTGCATTACGCGCGGTTTCATATAGACTAATAATATCTGAGGGGACCGACGGCTCTCCATTTCTCTCTATTGAAGTCTCATTATTTGGGCGAACCAAGTTCGCTGAAATTTCAGTCACAGGCGGAGCATGTTTTTCTTCCATGGATAAAATCATTTCTCAAATCAAGCCCTGTTCATTTTTTCACCTATGAGAAGTAGTAGAAGTAGTAGATGCAGTATTCTGGGAAATCGAGTGCACCTCTTGGCTAAGTGCTTCACGCTGAAGTTTTTTCTCCCTATTCCTCTGCCTAATTTCTTCACTAACCCCTTTCTTATGCACCTCGTTCAAGAAAGTGTCTGTCTTCTTATCCTCCGGTGTCTTCTCCTCACTCGCACAAGAGAATTGGACTGTGGATTTGGATAAAACCTCAGAAGAGTTATCAAGCTGGTCTACAGCGGAGCTAGGTACATTAATAACCTCAGGTGTTTGCCATTTCCCCTCCTCATTGTCATCCCTTAGTTTCACTACTTCGGCCTTAAGCTCAGCAATTGCATCATCATGCCTGGCATTTTCAGCAACAGTATCTGTCCTACCCTTCTCTAACTCCTCGATTCTACTCCTGAGCTCGGCCTTTAGCTTCACAATCTCGTCCATAGCCTCGTCATACTTGGCCTTAACATCGGCATTCTCGACCTCAAGCCCAGTAATCTTAGCCATAAGTCTGGCGTTCTCCTGTCTAAGTAAGTCAATCTCGGATTCCATTTTCGAAAATACTTTTCATACATCATATATAAGCATTCAAATAAAAAAACACGTGATTTTGGGCGACCCAAGGTCGCTGAAATTTTGCCAAGAAAAAAGTTTTATTGATACGTTATCATACAGATATCCGATTTTGATGATCACATTTCGGGTTGGTTGGAAAGATCAAGTCGTAGTCGTTAATTTGAAATTTACTAGCACCTAGGATATGCGAAAAAAAAACAATGAATTAATATAAGGTTATTGATTATAGGATATTGAAACTTTTGGATGCTTGATTAACGAATTCCTTAATTTTTCGTACCCTTTCTGGAATAACAACTTCCGGGTTTTGATCATACCATACCTCAATAAGGAAAATTCCATTATCTTGACATATACATCGTTTTTTCCGATCACGATTAACAATGTCTTCAAGTTTTTTAACATCCTTATACCAGCTAGTACTATGAAGCCGATGCTGTGCCCCTTGCACTTCCAATGCAATTTGATATTTTTGGAAGAAGGCATCAAGCTCTAATCCGTTCAAGAAAGGAGGGCGATACTCGATCATGGGCTCCTCATTAAGAATTTCCTTAGCTACCTGGATGCATCTAGTCTGAAATTTGCGATTTTTCTTGCATTCCAATTCCTTTTCATATTCTTCTATAATTGATTTATTTTTTGCATTCTGAGCCTTGATCTCAATAATCATAGCCTCAATACTCTCAAGACGATCTGGCTGTTCCAAACTAAGATGCTTTAATTTTACTATATGGGCCTCAAAATCAGCGTAATCCTTTTTGATAGAATTCAGAAACTTAGTATTCTCGGCTTTAAGCTTAACATTCTCAGCTTCAAACTTGGAAATCTCAGCCTTAAGCTTGGCACACTCAGCTTCGAGCTCGGCTTTCTTAATCAAAAGCTTAACTCTTTCTTGTTCTGATGAATCAATTTCAGGTTGCATGCTTGATAATAATATTTTTATACAAGACGAGAATTATTCAATGTTGTGTGGCAAATGTAGAAATGAGCTTTATTAATACAGAGAAAAAAATAAATACAAATCGGGAGCTAGCCCGTGATACATGCTGTAATTTCGTTTTACAAAGTGAAATGTTTCTATACTAATGCCTAAGGACTACACCAGTTTTTCGTTTCTTTTTACAGCCTATACTAATACATTATTCCAACATTAGATCCATGATTCGGTTTCCTTTGTCCTAATAACCGATATTCTGGATAATATAAAACAGTCGTCAGTTATACTTATACGAGATATGCAGTGACGGAAAATAAATCAATAGTTCATAACATTAACCTTACGCCGAAAAATTATGTTGTTTGCATTCCATGATTCTAGTAAAGCCCTCGGAAATCTATACAAAAAAAAAAATGGAATAAATGGCAAACGTATCGTAAATGTGTAACCATAAGATCATCCGTCATCCTGAATACGACTATATCACGTGACTAATGTGAGAAAATTTTAACATTTAGTATGACTGATCTGACGCAGTGGGATACCGTGTAGCACAAAACTAAATATAAATATATATACTGTATAATAATATAATTTGTGTAGTTACTCCTTACTCTCTCTTCTTACTCATTATATTAAACATCAAAATGGATAACATCAAAATGGATAACATCAACTTTGCCTCAGCTAACTCTACTTTCGATAACCTCGATCCTTATGTTTTATCTTCAACTAAGGAAGAAATGGACGTTAGAAAAGGTAACTTCAGCATTGTTACGAAAAATAAGAAAAAGGAATTCCCTAAAGTATTTTTCATAGATCTGGAAGATTATCGAAAAAATGGCGCAGAAGAGCAGAGTTGCAAAGGAAGTTTACGAGCAATTTCTTCTGCCATACAAGTAAGTCTCAAGGTTTGGCTTTCGCTTCCTTTTATGCATGACATGATGTTGATGCCTGTTCTTTAATGCACATCAGGAACAACAATCGAATTTCCCTCAGCACCGATTGTCCACAACCAATGACTGTGAGTGTGAACGGAGCCACGATCTCCATAGAAACCCCAGAGGATGCTCTCTGTTACCTCTACACGATCAACTATCCCCTCCTAAAGAACCTCTACACGATCAACCATCTCCTCCCAAAGAAAGATCCCAAGAAAAAGATAAAGGAATTCACATACCTGAGACAGGTGAAATTTCTTTTTCGGCATCTCGAACAACTTCGTCGATGGATAATTATGATGGTGAGTCGCAACAAACGTCCAACAGCAATCAACGTTTCTTGGAAAGTAGACCAGGAGAAAATTATAAACGTTGCATTTGGTGCGTCAGTTTCAGCTCACAAAAAGACAAAGGAAGAAGTAGCAAAGCATCGACCGATACCTTTTTCCTCGGGAAGATGGAGATGTGATTTCAATTATAGCAAAGTGGGAATTCGGGAATTGTGCGGAGACGAATGCCTGGACTTCCGTATGCCAGTTCAGAATGGATCTTCCAATCAAGACTCGAACAATATCGATTCAGACAAAAGAAGTAATGTTGCCATGCGAGAATTGCGAAGCTTGTCAGAATTGGTTGATGCTGTCAGGAATAATTGTAAATTTCATGAATTCGATGAATCCCAACTTAAATATAAATGGATAATTGATGAGGAAAATAAGGAATATTTCAGTGATGCATATGGCATCACTAATATTAATCCATTACTTGTAGATAATTATGGAATGAATATTTTGTTTTTAGATAGCCGTGGCATTCTATTTGAATGGTGCGAATTTACAAAAGACATGTATGTCTTAGGAATCAATGAAATGGAAGGCCTTGCGAACTTACTTTATCATCCAGAAAAGAGGCTCAAGATTATGGAAGACACTGGTGAGATGATACCTGATGTGGAACTTAAACGACAAGCAAAAGAGATTGTGAAAGCTCGGCTTGCTAATTTAAAAAAAGCGTGATATAAGAAAGATCAATTTGGTAACTGCATCTTTATAAAATATTATAGGATTCTTTTGCAGAACATTATAATACTTAGTATATGTGAGAAGGTTCTTTGCACTTTGGATTTTAAACTATGTAATATAAAAATTATTATGATCAATAAAAAATAATTATCATAAAGGCAAGACTTTATTGTATTTTTTGTAAAAGTATTATTTGAGAAAGTGCAAGTAAAAATGAATGTAAAAACAGTGTTATTTAGCTCAGATGACATGATGGATGATAATTATTAAAATATTCAAAAGTTTGTTAGTATATATAAGATGATATAACATTCTGGCAAGAAAACCATTAGGTTATGCCGGTTTGATCATAACAAATTTGTCACGGTTTTTCTTGCCAAGAAAATTTTTTATTAATCCATGCGAAAATAAATACAAATGTTCGGGACTTTGCCCGACGTCTATGCTAGTGTCCTATACAATTATTTTTTCTTGATTATCTCTTCTACACGGCGCTTCTTATTTGCGGGTTCTTCACTAGCTGATACCCTATCTTTTAACAAACCCACTATAACTTCCAAAACCCTCTTCACATTCTTGCGTAATTCGATTGGATTTTTGATGGCGTCTTCCGTTAGTGAGATTCGATACTCGGTCTTACTTGTACAGTAGATACCTTCGGTACTATGTAGGATGAAATACCAGTCCGTGGCTAAGAAATTGTGAACCGAGTTAGTGATGCAAAGCAAAAAAAAAGATTTGCTAGACATTTCTCACCTGTTGAAAAATGCGCGGTAGGATATCGGAAACATGTGTCCGTTAAACGATCACTACTAAACTGATGTGTTATGCTATTTTAACGAGTGTACGCCTTTCTTTCGATCATAGATCTCAGGAAAAAAATTGTTCATAGCCTTCTCGAAAAAGATTAACCCTGTACAACGTGCTGGATTTATAAATCTTGTGTACCATGTGAAATTTGGTCATATGATCAACATCAGAATTAAAAAACGCGTTAACGTGTAAAAATAAAAAACGCATTCTCTCTTCTTACTATTTTTACTTTACTACCTAATGAGTATAGTACATTCACCAAATTATTTCCTAGAAACTACAACTTGGAGCTTGCTTAGTTATTTAAAG